GCATGCATGGAATATTTTATATTTAATTTAGTTAATTAATTAAATTAATTTAGTTAATTAATTTAATTAAAATAATTAATTAATTTAATTACTTTTTTGTGGGGTGGTACAGGGTATTTAAGAGTTGAGCCTGCTCGACTTTAGCATTCCTTTCTTGTTTAAAGTTAGGTAAACGAATATGTAGCGTTTAATTTTGAGAGTATGGGCGAGGTACTAAAGCGTAGTTTTTCTTTTGCACACCTAACTCAAAACATGATTGATTCGTCACATAATTTAGCTAATAAAATACCTGAAAGATGCAGTATTAGGAAACAATTGAGTTTTTCGTTGCAAACTAAAAAAATTTTAAACTTTATTTAAACTAATTTTGATTTTTTTGAGAGTAAGATTTTCACACCGATTTAGATATATTTTACCGATCTTTACCGATTTTATTTCGCTTTCGCAAAAATAAAATCCATTGTTGGTTAGCTTAAAAATGCTTTCACTGTCGTTTTTATTCCCTGTACCCGTAAGGTAAAAGGGTATATTAGGTTTGTGCAAAGTATGTAACATGCAGAAGGAAGCATCTCCGACCCCATAAAGTATATATATTCTGAATCTGAATCATGACGAGAGAAATCGATCTAGACATGTCCGTCCGTCTGTCCGTCTGGATGAACGCAAGGATCTCAGAAACTATAAAAGCCAGAATAACCAAAGTTGGCATCCAGATTCTCCTAAGTCCAAGAAAGGACGAGTTTATTTTTTTTTTTAATTTTTTTTGTTCATATACTCCCCGGATCGTTTATTTGTCAATATTCAAATCGATTGCAACTTGTAGTTTTTTGCTTCTTTATTTTTACCAACGTTTCTAATATTATTGGTTTGGTTATATCCGCGTCGAGGTCTAGTTAATTTAATATTATTTCAGTGAGGAATTCCCAGAATTACGGGAGTTTGTTAAACAACCTAATAGCGGGGAGTGCACCAAAGAAAAAGGGGGCTTAGGGGAATATAATTACCAAGTTTGCTTATTCTAGTTCTTGTACTTCCTGAGGTTCCCTCGTTTAAGACGCACATACATATGAATATACACGTACACGTACTTTGCTTTTGTTCCGAGTTTCTTTTGGATACTTGAAGAGCTTGTCCCGGCGACTTGGGGCGACAAAGGCAAGACGCACTCGAAATTGGAGACGCTTGACGTTAGTATCATAGGAGTACCTGGTATGAACACAACTTCACCTACGGCTTTGCAACTTAATATTGTTACTTTAATTAAATTCGGAATTAACTTTTTAACTAAAGGTCTTGTGCCAATGCACAATGTTGTTGGTTTTGTATTGTTTCGAGGTATAACAAGAAGTTTACCCAAGCAGGAAAATATGTCCATAACATCTGTCTGAACAAAAGTGGAAGAGCAAGATTAATCAAACTTGGTAGTAATATTCCCCTATCCCGGACCTAAACAGTGTAACGAAGCCCTGGTGCCCGTCACAGGGTAGCGCTATGAAAGGAGGAGAAATAGTGGTAAGCCTAGTTTGTAGGTGAATTTGAAAGGGGCTTAGGAAAATTATGTTTTTAGTGAAGGCTTGGCAGCCAAGGAAAGTAGGCGGGAGATCGTCGCCACCGATGGCTTTGAATCCGAATTTTATTGTAAATAAAATCACACAGTTGGTACAATTGAATGGAGGGGTCGCCCTTTTACTTTTGGTGTCCAATATTATAGAAATAAATAACTGCACGCACCTTGGGACCGCGACGTGCGTGACAGCAGGTCATGTTTCTTTTATTTTTTATGCCCCCGCCCACTCACCCGCTATTAGAGATTTTTTCACAACTCCCTTAATTCTTGCAGCATGTGGTAATGTGTTTATTATTTAAATAAGTAGAACTGTGTAGAACTTTTACATTCCACTATAATTATACCCTGTACCCGTAGGGTAAAAAGGGTATAACATGCAGAAGGCTCAGCATGACTAGACGAATCAATCTAGACATGTCCGTCTGTCTGTCCGTCCGTCTGGATGAACGCAAGGATCTCAGAAACTATAAAAGCTGAAATAACCAAAGTTGGCATCCAGATTCTCCTAGGTCCGAGAAAGGACGAGTTTATTTTATTTTTTGAAATTTCACTGTCGGGCTTGCTCGACTGTAGCGTTATCTCTTCTTCTAGTTGTTTTTGTTTTCAACGTTGTCAACTAACTGTTTTCTTTCGTTTTTCCTTTGCAGCCACAATTCAAAGCTTTTCTTAACATTTAAGGTAAGTCGGCCACAATATTTAATAATTGTTATTTAATGAGAGAAACAAGTGCATTCAGCGAGTATATTTCAATCATTTCTGTTCTACTTACACAAAACAATAATTACAACACTTTACGAAGGAATTAGTTATAGTTATAATAATAAATATTTGAATTTGCTTGTAATCAGGTCAAAATATCGGATCTATATACATAGTGACACGAACAAAGGAAAATTGGAAACGTCTTGAAAATTGTCTTCGATTGCAATTGCTATATCTACATATCTTCTATATAGAATAGGTAGATTCAAATTTAGTAATTTCAACATTTCAAATTGAAAAAAGGCTTAAATTGGAGAGATAAGGGCATTAAAAAGAACAAAACGTTGAAAAAATGTTTTATACTAAGCTTGTATAGCTTGGATAAAATCCCGTAGATTTTCAAAACCTCTCTGTTGCTTTAGTACTTGACTTTTTAAGGCAAAGTTTCAAAAATACAGAAACAAAGAAAGGATTGCCTAAAATAATAAATAACTAATAACATAGAAATACCAAATACAGAAATGCAATTGTCATATTTTAGGATGTTTTATTGGCCTTTTATTTATACTATACATTGGAATATACGAGTATGTACATAAGCATGTCAAGTTTCATCGCGATAGGTCAGTTTGAATAGTTATAGTTATGTAATCTCTGGCGATGTCCTGCCCGCAGATGTTGTTGTTGTTGCGTTTTGATTCAATTATGCATTGCACACAAAAGCAGGTATACAAACCGGCTGGGAATTAATTCATTCGTACAACAATAGATGCATATATGATTTGATTTACCTTGTACCCAAAAGGTAAACGGTTATACATACTTCGGTTCAATTCTGTACCTCACACGAAAGCACAGACACAAACCCATGCAAATTAATGCAATTGCTTTTACAATAATGTCAATAAATGGTTTTCCATACATATGTACATACGTTACTGTTACATATTAAGCGCTTAATTATTTGTTTATTTAAAAATATTTTAAAAAAATGATCAAAAAAATGAACAGGAAAAACATTTGTTTGCAGCGGGTACAGAGTTTTTTAAACGTAGAAAAATTTCCACGTCTCTAGAACTCCACTACAATGCACAAATGTGCATATATAATGAATATTATATACATTTATAAATAGCAGAATTGTAGATTCATTATTGAATTCGCAGACAGGAAATTGTATTTTTAATCATCACCTAATACTTGTATACAAACGCATTTACAAGCACATGTACATATGTACATACATTTGTATGTAATTCAATACATGTACACGCAAATGTATGAAATTCAATTTATTCGCGTCGTCTTTATTTGTATTTTTACCTGTTTGCGCTGCCTAGAAAATGCTGCTTTGCAACAAATATTACAAGTCGCTCTTTGATTAAGAGCCAATTTTTGGACACTCAGATAAGACCTAAATATCTATGCCATGTGTGCGAATGAATGTGCGTAACTCTTCGCTCTCTGCTCTCCGCATTCGTCAAACAATGACCTTGTCTTCATGCTTGGAGCTTAACTCATTCTCTCGGTGTACCTCGATCGATCATTACCCATTGTTGTCACGAAATTTAGGTTGGGCAGGTAGTACAATAAATGTTAGGTTTAAGTGTTCACTGCGGCGTTTAGTTATCAGTTTGCCAGCTACTGATACTGCATTTTAATTCAGATTAAAAATGCGACAAAGATACATATCTATCGAAGTATTAGATGAAAATCCATTGATAAAATCTCTTTAACTATGGAGTAATATGCGGAGCTCTCTTTGACGCACTCTTAGCAGATTGAGTCGTGCTCTTTAGCAAATTATCTTTATCTCATGCAAGTGCAAAATACTCGGTTCACATCTACATCCACACAACGCACATATGTGTGTACTCATACATATGCATTCGGACGTATTTGCCGTCACATACACTTATGTATGTGCGGATATGTGCAAGTATATGTATGTATCTATGTAAAAATGACAGCTGCAGAGCTAACAACTGGTTTTCATGTGATTCAAATACTGCTTTTGTTGTATGTTTCTGAGGTATACTTGGAAAATCAACGCTAAATGAACCTAAGAGTTAAAGAAGAATTTATATACATAATAAAAAAGGCATACAATCGAAAAGACCATATATGTATGTAACTAACTGCATTCGTATTTATGCAAGTACATACATATGTATGTATGTATGTAGATTCGGTCATATACTGTATTTTACAGATTGTCAATACTTGAAACTGGTTTGTATCTACTTCGCACAAATGCATGTTTTTTCTGAATACCCAATAACTATTGTATTGTTTAATTTATTGTAAATATATACATACATATGTATATGTATACGAAAGTATGTCAAACGAAACTTATAGCTAACAATCTACAACCTGCACACGATGGCAAAAGCGTCGAAATTTTATCGTCGTCACTGGCAGCAAACTGCCGTTGTTGGTAGTAAATAAAACAACTACACAAAACTAAGTAAATATTCTACCACTACCACTACCACACACACGCATGCGGTGAGTCAAGAGCGCAAGAGCACGTATGCGTGTATGTGTGCATGTATTCAGATACATGGTCGTCTGATGCATACGCTTTACTCTCTTACCCTGTCTTCTGTCGCTCTCTTGCGCGCTTGCCCACTCGAGCTGCGGTTCTAGTCCATGATGTGCGCTTCCCACAGTACAGTAGAGCAACTCGAGCCGCTATAACGTGCAAGCTACTTTGCCAGACGCGTCGCTACCGTTCCCGTTCCAATCGTCGCGTCCAGTTCGCAGTCGCTTTCGTTTCGACCCAATGTCCGCGTAAACTTTTTCCATTTTTTGGGGGTTTTTGTACTTAAACTACATATTATATGTATGTCTGTCTTCAGGGTCGGTCTGGCGCACTTTTATCGTTTCAATTGTTTGTGCTGTGGTTGTGTGTGTTTCTATTGTTTGTAGAAGGGGGTAAGCGGCACGCCAAGCCGGGCCTGTGAGTGAATAAAGCCAGCTACCAACAACGAAAATAGTGTAATACTAGTATTAGTACTTTATTGAAACTGAGAAGCCGTTTCGATCGTTTCTGCGGATTTATTTGGATAACTCACACGTATGTACATTCGCATGGGAATTACATGGGCATCTGCGTATCTACACAACTATGGTAAAATCGTTGTATATACTTGTACACATACATGCGAGTATATGTGGATATATATGTATGTAATACACAATTCCAATAAAACAGCTCAAGTAACGCAAACTCAGCTATTAAACGCACACCAATTAAGTGTTAATTATGATTTATTAATTCGACTGCAAGACACAGATGCAGCCATATCTCTCGACGCTTGTTTACACCTACAAAGGATATTATTATCTTCAGCTTTTTGTGCATTATGATTATCCATTACTAGCCTGAAAAGCTTTAAAAAAACGGCATTACGAACCAAGTCCCGAGTAAATAAATTCGTTGTTTCCATTGTTTTTCCTTATGGTACAGTATAATGGCAGCAATGATGCATAAATAAACAAAAATGTATCAACCTTTATACAAGTACATTTACTTTCAAGTTTAACAACCAATTTAATTGCATGCCGAAATCGATTGAGTACTGGGTTTGTATTTCGATAATTTCGCGACATCAGGTATTCCAACCGGTTGTTTGTCAGTGTTCTCAAATGCGATTGGGGTCCCAGGCCTTACCTCAGCTACTGGCGAGACTATAACAATTCACATTTAGCATTTACACACACATATATATGCTTGTGTATCTGTAGCATAGGTTAATGAGAACCTGAATCAACCTTTTGTTCGTGCAATTTATAAACAATCATTGAACTATGCTTTTTTGATGAAATATTTCGATTTTATTTAACGTTTGGGCGCCAAAAACCCAGAATACAGGTAGTAAGGTTGGAAAGTTCTTATAGATAGAGGCGCCCAAATTCAAATAGTATGTGTCATCAGATACAGACAAACTCATAAATAAGAGTTTGTATGTATGTACTAATTCGTGTGTACTATGTAAGGCCCCTTTTGTAAGTTCTCCATTACTTGCTAAGCAATTTGTACTTTCCGTATTATCTGTCAAGGACTTCAAAACGTTTAATCTGAAGACTTTGCTCCACTTAAAGTTTGAAAATAAATGTACAGTGCCGTAATACGTAATACCCATTTCCTCAGTTTAGTTCTGTTGTTATCAAAAATGGTATTGCAAAATAATGAAATTATTTAACACCTCTTGTACAGGTTTAGTAATTAAACATCCCCATGCCACTATATACACAAGTGAATCATACTAGCCATGCATGTGTGTGCACAGTATCTATGTAAGCTTAATCAGAATGAACACTTTAGACCAACGACTTCACCTTCACCATACACACATACTACTGTACTGGCATATGTACAAGTGTGTGTAAAAAGTACTGAGAAACGCTGGCTACTGCCAATCAGTAAAACGTAATCGCAAAACGTAAAAAACGAGAAAGCATAAGAACAAAAGCTTCACAAGAAACAGGCAATAATATCAAAAGCCACTGCCAGTCATCGGCCAAATGCTGTGCTGGCTTTCAGAAAACAAAACCAGTTTCCAGCACCGCCAGTCCCGGACACCCCCGATCGGCCCAGACCGGCTCAGACCAAACTTTTTCTCACTTGCCTTTCGATTTATGTATGTATAGTTTGTTCGAACCAAACTGCATTCTTCGTCTTGCAGCCGCTAGCTTAGGACTGGCTGTTTGGTAAGCGTTTGTTCTTGTTGCACTTACTCGTAGTTGGTGGATGCCGAAGAGCAGTAAGGTGAACAAAGATGAGTAACAACAGTCTCAAGATCCAAGAGGTGTGGGGCATGAGCAGGGGATGATCGTCTTCAGCCCCACTTCAAACACTAATTCCTCATTTCATGGAATTTCCTTTCCATTTTCATGCTGCAACGCAGATGATTAAAAGCATTAGCAACTACTACTACCTGGTATGCTTCTGGTAACGAACTTGGCAATGACAATCTGGTCAGACCGGACTGAGTGGATCGTTGTATTCTCAACCGCGCCCTGACTAAAGACCAACGAATTTACTGAAATCCTAATGTGCCTAAGTTGTTCAGCACTCTTGAATCCGTTAGCTCGGAAAAGTACCCAGTACCCAGTGGAAAAATATTGTTTCAAGTACCTTCTTACACACTTTACCAATGCGGTGCCAGAGCCGACCGACTGCACCAGGAAGTCTATGTATCTGGCATGTAGAGAGACACGTGACAGACCCCATGAATTGGGCATATATATTATCGACATGATGAGACGAATATCCCTCAGTCCGTCCTTATGAACACACAACTTTTTAACAGTAACAGCTAATTCGCCAAATTCGGTATTAAATAATAGGAACGATCTGTGCTATATAAAGCTTATCTCAGTTGAAAGACTGTTGTGGTAATTGGATTTCAATAAGTATCTGTTCAGACCACAAGATTCTATGTATGCAAATTTTTGTTACTCTTTTGAAAGACGACTAATTTATTAAGTCAATATATATTGAAAATTCTTATTAATTTCTTGCAAACTCGTAATTCGAGAAAAGCTCTTCTCCTCCCACTGCCCATTAAAGTTCAATGTAGATAATAAATATTTTGAGATCACCAAAAACAGGGAGGGATTTCCCCCCTCGTGAAGTCATTTCTCGTTCATACTTTTCAGCTCCCGCGTACATTTAATTCTATTACATAGTTGTGGGTGTTATCGTTGTTTCACAAATGATTGATTCTTGAAACTATACTTTATGTTAATATGCTTAATTCCAAAAGATACATCCACTAAAACTTTTGTGCTGGAAAATCAAAGTCAGATCCAAAAGAATATTAAGTTCAGTAATTCAGCCCGCATTGTCGGATACTAGACTATCCGAAATTGCAGAGTTTTTCAAATAATCTACAGCTATCAATGAGCTTGTTAAGAACCACAAGTGGCAAATGCATATAGCTCATATAGTATATATACAAACATATGTGTATTTACTCCTACGTATTGGGCACATATCGGGCTTCCTTTCGCATGCTTTCTCGCACCGTTGTTTTCTTGGTTTTCTGTTACTATATTGATTTGGTAGTAGAATGGCTTACAGCGAATTTTATTGTGTGCATCAAAATCGATGCAAGAACAAAAACACATTGTAGCTGGCTAATTACTATTTACATCAAATATGGGTCCCATCTCGAGAGGAAGGCAACATTGTTGATGATCCCAAGAGGTCTCTTAGCACGTACGTTGGCCGCCAACTGCTCCACTAATCGTTTGCCTTAATGCCTGCCTGCGAACAGCAAATTCAAAACCTCATAAAATATATTTTTTGTCAGCTCCATAAGAAAAATGAATCTAGACATGTCCACACGAACGAACTTCTAGATGAACGCCAAGGTTTTTAAAACGACTGCGCCCACCACAACTAACATTACGCAAGCTTCCGTAATTCCTAGTCAATACGAATTTATTTTATTTCTTCTTTTTATATCATCAATTTCCAAAGCTTTTAATCCTAAGAAATGTTGTTATTTTTGCTTCTACTATTCGGACTTAAAACAGCGCATATAACATGAATGGGGAAGTGTTTTTCGGGTTCAGGGTATTTCACTGGCGGCCTGGCTTGACAGTAACTTTTCTCTGCAATCTTTACAAAATATCAAATTGCACTTCATTCAGGCATGATAATGCCATAAAAAGCGCTCGAGAAAGAAATTGTTTTTTTTTTTTTTTTTGGAATAACGAGCACAATTTCGTGGCATTGTTTGTTCAATATTCAAAACGGAGGCCGATATAAATATGTTCACTGTACTATGAACAATAATTTTGTCAGTTTATACCCTTTACTCAAACAGTGAGGTTGTCCCATAACGAGGTGTGCCTGACCCAAAAATGGGTATAAATTTTTGATAAGTCTGTCTGCAGATTATCCTAAGCCCTCCAAGCTAAAGCGGTAAAGGTGTTTATCTTTTGAAGGAAACAAGCACTTTTCTAATCTCCTTTCATTCTCAGAAGTTAGAGAGCAGTTCCTCATTAATCAGCCTATGGTCAGCATTTTCTAGTGCCTTTCTCAAGAAAGTTTCATTTCAACCTTTGCAATATACACAAATGCCTTTAATGGGAACAGGGAATTCAAGAGTCGAATTGATTGGAACCCGAAGGCAGAAAAACAAAAAAAATTATGGTGACAAACAGAGCAGATCGTTGTTAGAAATTATAATAAACACGCTTCGTTGGCTTTGGATATTGTTTGTTTGTGTGCGTGCTCGTATGCATTTAATTTCGACTTGCAAATACTCCCCATATTACAAAGGCAAACTTTGCTCGATTAATATCTGTTGTCAATGGATTTTTCGATCGGCGCGCTCTGGGAGAAATGTCCAACCTGACACGAATAAGTAAATAACACAATTAGCGTCAATCTTCGTTAGACAATTTTTATTTTGCGGTTACATTCCATTTGATGGTTAAACGGGTGCAATGCCTACCCGTCCATCTCCTCCAAAAACTTTATTGACTGTGCCTCCCCAATCGCTGCTATGACACCGATTTTGATGAAACTATGCAACTGAAGAGTATATTATATTCAGGCATCTTACAAAAATTATAAAAACCACATTTGGTTGAGATGTAATAAAAGGAAGAGTTATTCTACAAAGTACTATAAAAAAGAGTCCATATGAGGCTTGTAATATCTATATATAAATATGACAAGTCTAGAAACCCAATTTGGGTCAACAGTTGTTGGTGCTCCTTCTAGTAGAGCGTATAACTAAAGGATGAAATAGCAGTTCAGTTGAAACTAAGCAATCAGAATGGGAATGCCACGAATCGGTCATATATCGATCACATATAATACCAGTATCCGTAATACATAAATTATACTGACAGGGATACCTTTTCATATTATGTTTTAAAAGCAGACACCTCCAAGCAACTAAATATACGACGACATATCGTCGAGATTGGAGATTGTGAAAGAAATAAGGTTGGCTATTAATTCCAATGAACATTGGTTCTATCGGATAAAACATATTTGCCTTTCTCTGACTTAGAGAAGATGCACATCAAGCTTATGAAGTTTGCCACGTG